AGACACTTTTCTATGGAAGCGAGAGGCAGAACAAGTCCCCGTGATCATCAGCTTTCGCCCCAGCCCCACGTCTGAAGACACCTACGACTGGAGGCAGCAGAAGGGCTGAAGCTGGTCTTTAGCGCCACATTTACCTGACTGCGAGAAAAACTGTGAGCGCCGCCAGTTGTTGCGAACCCTAAGCGGAACCGCGGCCCCGCGGGGCGGCTCTGCAGGCAACGGCACGGAGACAAAACAAGAAACAACACAGCGTGGTCAAAAGGCGATGACGGACTCTCAGACTCGAGCCACTTCAGCCAGGAGAGGGGTTCTGACTACAACCACTTTCGCCCATCGCAGATAGTTTACGGCAGACCTGTGGATCACACGGACTGCCCGTATTTACGTGTCACTTTTGTAACGTGGCACTGAACTTCATGCGAGAGTTCTAGCATGGCAATGCCAGTCAAGGGCAGCCACCTCTTCAAGTCTTTGGTGCTCGCATTCATGTCTACTGCAGACACAGGTTTTAAAGGATTTTTGTGATCGTTTCAGCGCTGTACGTGCTGGGAACACTAGAGAGCAGCCAAGTGTTTCAGCATCGCTCAGAAAACAGGAGATGGAGCCACATTCTGTCACTTGATGTTTGGATTGCTTCATGTCTAACATAAAATGATACTGTTCTCAAAGCACCTCCCCACTTAAAACAAGTGAGATTCCTATTCTTTTTCAGACAATCCCACTTCCCACAGTGGATTGTCTTCAGTAATTTCAATCTTGAAAACACTAGGATAATCAGTATATTACCTATCCATAAACTAAAAACCTAATACCTTCTCAGGGGTAAGAAAACTTCAGATGAACTTGCTCCCTCTCTTTCATGATATCTACACACATGCATCTCTAAATCTAAAATAGAACCACTAAACATTATCAATCTCAAGCAAAAGTTTGTAATGAAAGCAAAAAAAATAATTAAATTCTGCTTTGCAAGAACTCAGGATGGACACAGATCAAATTCAGGGACATGGCCAGATAAGTGTATTGTTCATCTATGACAATTCTGCTGTGCATCCATATGAGCAGCTGAGTGAAGAATTGATCTCCAGAAGATTTTACTGTGAGATAAAACCTATTGCTAAGCCATTTTCGTCTGTGAGAAGCAGTACTAATAAAAGATAATGCAATACAATAAAATGAATATTAACTCATTGACGTCATACAGCTTTTATTGCTAGGCCAGGTAAGTGCAAGACAGGGCTCTCCCTGTCCCACTCCTTTGTGTCACAATTCTGCCATTTTAAGTGGAACAGTGAGAAGAGTCCTTTGCATCACAGAAGCCACAATATCAATACCAGTTAGATGCAACTTTAACTCCCAAACCCTCCAAGCCACTGATTAGGTACTTCTCCCTGAACACATACTCAGTTACTGTCCAGCTAGGTTGTCCAAAGGTTTTGGCTCACCTTGTAGACCAGAATTCTGCAGAGTAACTTGGCTGGTCTCAGGTAGTTTCTTTAAAAATGGCAACACTACACTCCCTTCTTGTTCCAGGGCTTCTGGTTTCATTACCTGTTCAGACATTTGGAATCAGAAAATAGCATTCAAAAATCAGCAGGTTCAATCAAAGGTTAACTTAAACCCTTTCTACTTATTTTCTGAATAAATAGCACCAAAAACGAAGCCCCTATCCACAGAATTACAACATGAAGTTGCAGTACTGAAGTCCTGGAGATAACCAGCAGCTGTTTGTTGGTGACATTCATGCTGCCCTGGCACAGTAAAGCTGATCCTAACCCAGGACCAAGATCTAAATCACCTGACAGAGCAGTATGGTCATGGCCATTTTTTACCTCTGCCACCACCTGCACTTGTTCAGCACTTCAAGTGGACAAGGTCAAGTGTCTATCCCTTCTGGATACTCTGTCCTCCCAAGACCCAGTGGGACTAGGGTTTGCCAATTAAATTCTCATTTCTGCTCCAGTCAGTTTACAGGTTCAAACGCTACAAGCAGACACTGGGGACCTCCTTTGGAGGGGTAGCTCTCTCATGACTATAGGATTTGGCACAGAAACCATCCTCCAGGGTCATCTGCAAGCAGATTGCTTTGTGCAAACTCTTGAAGTGACATTATACAGAGAAAAAAATACTAATTTTCGCATGAAACATTTCTCTGTGAGATTCTTCTCCCCCCCTCGTTCTCTCTCTTTCTTGTCTGTAGGTACCTCTGGTGTAGCAGGGAGCTCTGCTTCCTTCTGCTGCTCCTTTTCAGGTTTCTTCACGTCTTTCTCACTTGAAGCAGCTTCCTCTGAAGGGACAGGCGCAGGAAGAAATTCTAATCTCTTCACGACAGGGCTGGCACAAGCTGCAGTTGACTTGAATTGCTTTTGATCTGAACCTAATTCATACATATAAGAGATAATGCTTCAAGGTCAAGATATTTTTTCAAATAAAATGTAAACCTACTTCTTAGAATCAAATTTCTTGCTGGATATACTGTGAGACCATTTACTGGATATTTTGAAAAAAATAATCTTCTTCCTTCAACACAGGCAAAACTAATCTCTCAGAGAAGGCAAGAGTAGAATTTACCTGACAAAATGTAAGGTGCTTACACTCGGGCATCATGGGACACCCTTCATGATGAACAAAGAGAAGCAGTTCTTGGGGAAGAGTCACCTAGACTATTTCAGACACTCCTCCTTGGCTGAGATGAGCTGTAACCTAAAATTTACCTACTGAGGTACAGATCTCTTTACTGAAGTTGGGTGATGAATCCTATCCTAAGATGTTACCACAGTTCACATGGGCACTGTCAGCCCTGGAGGATATTTCAGCTTGCCTGTTTGCACTAAACCACATCAGTCAAACATCAGACAGCAAACCATGCTAAACAGGAAGCCTTGGTCTGGAATAACCTTGTTGACATTCAGTTCTTAAAAAAAAACCCAAGAAGTTGATGCTGGTTTATGTGAGAAGGACCAAGACCACATGTACCTACAGCTGAGGCCTGTGACAGCTGGACTACTGTCAGCTTCCATCTCTGGACGCAGAGCAATTGCCAGCATCCCAGGCAGTGCATCTTTCTAATCTCCAAAGCAGAATCTCAGCTTCAGATCCTGTTCCCTCTCCATTCATGGCAGCGGTGGTAGCTTCTGAATATACCTCTTTTGACAGGCTAGGAGAGTGAGGTAAGAAAGAGGCACACCCCAAGGCTCCACTAAGAATCCACACACAAGTAGAGACAAGAGCCGCCCCTGCTGCCAGGCAGATGCACACCACTTTGGAGTAGTTCCCACACCATTAGTGATGTAGGGGTCACACCATGGAAGTATCTGGCTTATACTGCATGGCAAAGGAGGTTGCTTATTCTACCAGAATGTCACACAGTTTGGACCACATCTACCCCTCCAAAGCAGACATAATGGAAAAACATGTTCCTTTACATCTCAATTTTCACGATGCTATCTCTGTTTGCCTTGTCAGCCAATATTAAACTTTGCTATCAATACTTAATGTTTAGCATTTCTCACAGGTGTGGAGCCTGAGACAAGGTAGCTTTGTGATTTGTAGACAAATATCACCAGCTCATCACTGCTGACTCTTGAGAGGAGAATTTGGGGTTCACCACAAGACTGCAGCCTCTACACCACCCGCCAGGTGCAATCCAAGATTGTTAACCTCTGTGCTTTGGCATCTGTGAGCCAAAGTAATTAAGTCAGCTAATGAGCCCTTGCTAACAGCCTATGTGCCTCACAGTCTTGCAGCACATAAAGAAAAGGCTGGATATGCTTCTAATCTTGGGGGAAGGATAGCCCATTCACGTTTGAGGGCAAAGCTCAACTGGTTTAAGTCACATTTATCTTCACCAAATAGGGCCACTATGCTTATACACCAATTACAGCCAGAGATCACATTTAAATACCTACTTTAAGCTGAATTTTGATAGACTCATTTTAGAAAACAAACAACCAAAACAGACCATGAATTTAGTACAAGATCAGGCAGTAGACAAAATGCCTACTCAAGAAACACCTTCTGTAAAACAATAGCTTCAAATCTTACTAGTAAAACCCTTTCCCCAGAGTAGGAATCATGCACAAAGGCTTTAAAGCAGAAAATCAAGAGTGTGCATGATACTGTCCATTTAAAGCCCCTATGACTGAAGTGCCCCTTCTAATTCTCCTTTCCCATTTCTTAATATTTCATGGCGAGAAAAAAGTGCATTAAACAGAAGCTATTACTGACTGATAGTTTCTGCCTTGATTGCTTTCTGGTTACAGCACACTGTGGTGCCAGCTTTTCAGTCACACACATGGCAAAGCAGATAACTCACTTTCTGATCCATGTGCCGTCAGGTGGGTCATCTCAACCACATGACAGAACCACCTAGGTTGGAAGGGACCTCAAAAGTTCATCTGGTCCCACCTTTTGTGGGAAAGTGAGCCCAGAGGAGATTACCCTGTTCAGCTGCACCTTAACAACCTCCAGCTGTGCAGGCCCTACCTCATCCCTCAGGATGCTGTTGCAGTGAATGCTTGATCTTACTGTAAAAAAAAATATATATACCTCATGAGACCCCACCTGGAGCACTGTGTCCAGTTTTGGAGCCTACAGCACAAGAAAGATATGGACGTGTTGGAGTGTGTCCAGAGAAGGGCCACGAGGATGATCAGAGGGCTGGAGCACCTCTCTTATGAAGATAGGCTGAGAGAGTTGGGGTTGCTCAGTCTGGAGAATAGAAGGCTCCAAGGAGACCTTATTGTGGCCTTCCAGTATCTTAAGGGGGCTACAGGAAAGCTGGTGAGGGGCTTTTTAGGATGTCGGGTAGTGATAGGACTAGAGGGAATGGATTGAAGCTAGAGATGGATCGGTTCAGATTGGACGTCAGGAAGAAGTTCTTCACCATGAGGGTGGTGAGACACTGGCACAGGTTGCCCAGAGAGGTGCTGGAAGCCCCATCCCTGAAAGTGTTTAAGGCCAGGCTGGGTCGGACTCTGGGCAGTCTGATCTAGTGGGGGATGTCCCTGCCCATGGCAGGGGGGTTGGAACTAGATGATCTTTAAGGTCCCTTCCAACTCTGACAATTCTATGATTCTATGATCTTTCTTATGTGGAGATTTCTGACATCTGCATTTTCTAATAGACCCTCTTGGTGCTGCTGCAGACACACTTCCTGGTCGCCTGCTGCAGGGGGCGCCTGAACCCCAGCCACCTCGGTGGGCAGAGGCAGGGGAGGGCAGCAGCAACAACCAACAACCCACCTGGGGATGGGCACGCTGGGCTGGCAGGTCCCACACTTCCAGGGCTGGTCTCGACCTGCTGGCTGGCAGCTCTGTCTGCTTCCAATGGGGAGGCCTGCAGAGAATAATACAGTAGAAACACAGGGAGTACAGTGGAAATAAAAGCATGTGTTAGTTCCTCAAGGCAGTACTTGCTGCTTCTTTGTAATGTGTTTGAACTGGATTGGTTTAGAGCTCAGCAGGGAGCTGGGGAGTACGTTTTGCAGGAATATGTGTCACTCGGGTGTTGAATTGCTGGGCTTTAATCTCCTTTTCAAACTGTTCATCAGCAACCATCATGCAGTTGGTTTGGAATAGCCTACAATTTTAAAAGGCTGTAGGAGCTATCTTGGACTGTGTTAGCTGGAGATAAGCATACATTCCACCCCTAGTTTCCTCTTCCAGAATAACACAAAAATGTATGCATTAGTGAATACATAGCACATACTAAGGCTTGAAAAGTGGCAAAGTAATTAAATACTTCCTTTATTTCACGGTTGTCTAAACAATCTGTTATCTGAAGGGAAAAGACAGAGTCAGTATTAAAGGTAATGAAATACTTGAAACACTATTAAGAGAGGACTGAAAAAATATGGTGAGAGCATATCGAGCCAATAATCCAAATCCTTTTGAAAAGCCAGCTTCCTGACCCAGTGCAAGGCTGCTGCAGAGCTGAAACCACACTGTCAAAACAAGGGCAGCACTTCAGCTGATCTATTTAGCAGCATCCACCATACATCCGCCTTCCCAGCAGACAAATCAAGAAAAAATTTGCGGCAAACCAATCTAGAAAATGGCACATTCAACAGAGGAAAATAAAAAAAGCAGACTACTTTTAGAAAGAAAAAGTAACATTTCAGAAATAGCCTATTGTAGGCTCGCTTTCCTGTTCTCCTCCCACCCCTCCATCTTATTAACAGCTGCAAGGGAGGAAACCTGATGAAATTTCCTCTTTCCTGGGGGCAGGATTCAGGTCTCCACCTTCAGCACGGATCCTGTTTCCCATCTCTGCAGACCCACGTGAGCCTATGGCCCTTCATCCCTGCCTGCTCCATGAAAAGTAGACCAGGGCTTTCACAGCTTGGTCACCAGGGACGTTTGCTGGCAGTGTCAACAGGACACCAATGCCTGTGGATACACTTTGACTCCAGAGAGCTTGGCTGTTGGCAGAGCTCGAGAAATCCTGCCTGTCTTCTCTTCTCTGGAGGGAGGTATACTCTGGAGAGGGGCAAGGAATGTGCCTGGGAAGATGCCCTGTGAGGAAGCAGTAGGGACCAGTGTGGGGCTGTGGCCAGGGGCCAAGACCCGGGCAAGCCCAGTGGGCAGTGAGCAGTGCTGGGAACAACAGAAGGAGCCTGTGTCTGCCAAGGGCTGTGCCGTCACCTCACAGCAGGACAGGCGCCAGATCACGGCCACGAACCTCGAGAAGTGGCAGCGCGTCTCCTCCGGTGCCTGCTGGGGCTGGCTGCCTGCCATCCTCCGCGCTGCCCAGCGCTCTTCACTGCACTCTGCCCGTCTGAATCTTCTGTCCCAGGCAAGGCACTGACACACCAGAACCATTTAGATTGGAAAAGATCCTTATGATCATTGAGTCCAACTGCCAAGTCTACCACTAAACCATATCACTAAACACTATGCCTGTGTGTCTTTTAAATACCTCTGGGGAGGGTGACTTAACCACTTTCCTGGGCAGCCTGTTCTAGTGTTTGATAACCCTTTCAGTGAAGAATTTTTTCCTAATATCCAATCTAAACCTCCCCTGGTTTCCTCTTGTCCTCTGGCTTGTTACTTGGGAGAAGAGACCAACACCTACCTTGCTACAACCTCCTTTCCGGTAGTTGTAGAGAGAAATAAGGTCTCCCCTAAGCCTCCTCTTCTCCAGGCTAAACAACCCCAGTTCCCTCAGCTGCTCCTCAGAAGACTTGTTCTATAGAACCTTCACCAGCTTCGTTGCTCTTCTTTGGACATACCTCCCTCTTGCCTAAAAGGGGTTCTCAAACAGCATGAGGCAGAGGGTGAAATACACCCAAAAATACTCCAAAAAGGCAGCACGGAAAGTTTGACCACGTCCTCTCCACCATGTCCACCTGTGAGTTCACGTGTACCAAGAACAAACAAGGCACAGAGCTCCCCCTCCATGTGTCACACATTCCAAGGAGGGACAGTTGCTGGAGATGAAGCACAGGCTAGAAAACAGGCCTCAGAGAAATGCTCCAAAGACTGCAAATCTTGTGCCCCAGATATTTGGCTCCTGCCATTCTGGTGCTTTTTTCTCCCATATAACCCCCCTCTCCACTCCCCAGTCCATCTTGGTGCTTGCCTGTATTTCATTGAGAATTTTCTCACCAACAGCCCCAGCAGAACACTACAACAGAAGAAAACATCTCCTTCAGTTTCAATTCTGGCTCCTAACACGACACCAGCCAGAGAAGAAGCTACTAAAAACCATTCACAGCCGTGCTCAGCACAGAAATAAGCACTTATTTTCTCCATGAGGACAGCCAGGCAGCAAAACAGGCTCCCTAGACAGGTTATGCCATCTCTGTCCTTGGAGGTTTTCGAGACTTGAATGACCAAGCCCTTAGCAACACGGTCTGATCTCATGTCTGATCCTGCTTTGAGCAGAAGATTCAGCTAGAGACCTACAACCTGAATTATTCTGTCAACCTACAAATCTCTACTAAAGCTAAACAAATGACTATTATCAAGAGCTCAAGATTTGCCCTAAACAAGGTAAGTTTTAACTGGAAAAGCAAGAAGCACCTACTTCAACGCCCTGCTCCAAAGCTTAAGCTCTTCCAAAGAAATTGTTGCAAATTTCAATTACTAATGTTTATATTATTATTACTACTAGTAGTAAAGCAATGGAAACCACCCTCCACTCTCAAAAAGCAATTGTCCAAAATAAAAAATTTCCCCCCCCTAAAAAAAGAAATTCAGCTTTAATTTCAACCTCAGAAGCTTTAAAGTTACAAACAATGATAAACCTGGGCCGATACAAAAAGTGTTAAACAGCGTTAAATGCCGATGAGAGCTGCAATTTTTTTTGGGAAAGAGCAGAGCCACATTGGCCTCTCAGAGGGTGTAGAAAGCTCAGCAAATGCACAGACACGATGCATTTTTATTGCCTCTGGGTCTAGTTACCTCAGGAACCTGAACAGGGCGCTGTGTCATGTAGCTATCCTGCACAAGTACGGTAACTGAAACTACCCATAACCTATATCTAGGAGGCTGAACCAGGTATAGACAGGTATAGACATAGATGTTATTTATGGAAATTTTTAAAGAGCAGTAAAAAAAAAAAAAGCTAACTATGTGCTGAAGGAAAAACTGAATTTTGCAATGGCATGCTGCAGAAGTTCTGTTCCTGCTCACAAGACTTGACTCTTCCTCCTCCCTCTGCTGAGCAATTAAATGCTAGTGACATACAGCTAAAAATACAAAATTGATTAGTAAGTAATTTATAAAAAAAATTAAGTCAACTTCACTGGGGAGCTCTCTAAGTCCCAGTATATCCAATTCTATTTATAATACCAATATGCACAGGCACATGATACATTTAAGAAAATTCTTGTACTGGTACAACTGATAGAATGCCTTTTCTACCACAGGCTATCACCATTCACGTGCCATAAATATTTTGTAATCAAATGATGATGTTTATCACTGAATGTGAAAAAAGGCATACCAGCATTTCGTTGTATCCAGGAGGATCGTATTTTGACACAGACACCTAAAAACCGAACGACCTGGTGAGTGGCATTTCTGAGGTGTTTTAGAAGAGCTCTCAGGCTTGGGGATGGAAGGACCCAGACAACCTCTTGGCACCGCCCTGCAGCTGCCATGCACGTTTGTGTGGGCAGAGGGGTCATTCTGCATGACTGTAGAGCCAGTCCACAGGCTGGCTCTGCTGCAGCTGCCCACGAGGGAAGGTCACAAAACACCTGCAGGTCCAGCACCACAGGCAATGAAGCCTTCAAGGGAAGGAGGAAAAACCTTGCTGTGTAGGGGCTGTGGTTTGTTGTTCTTTTTTTTTTTTTTTTTTGAGATCACACAAGCCAGAAATAGCCACATTGCCTAGTGCTGCAGCAGAACCTTACATCCTTACAAAAGCCTAAAAATACAGTAACTAGGAGCTCCTAAAACACCGAGCATCACTACTACAAGAATTCAAACTCCAAAGGAAAGTTACAGTAAAACTTTATTAACCCTTATAGTAAATTAAAATCAAAACACAGGTCAGTTAACACTACTTGTACACAAAATTACGTGAAATACCGTTACCATATTTTCTATGAAAACATGACAAAACAAGCTGTCTGGAAGCAGCGAGAATGTAGAGATATCAGGAAGAATCAGGTTAGAACTACAGTTTAAATTCTGTAAAACTACTCAGGAATGGAACTGGTTGCAGTATCAATAACCACACATGGAAATTGCCTGATACATCTTTCAAACTTCTGCAACTGACTTCATACATGTATGATTAACTTTTAAATTTCCATATGATGATTTCCACGCTTTCGGTTGTTTTAAGTGGTAATGCTGGCGTCACCTTGGGGTGCCACAGCTAAGTGCCTTGCAGGTTATGCCAGTACAGTACTACAGCCAGAACACTGCTCTGACATGTTAAGTCTTCTGCCTCGTCTGGCAGCTATATAACGCTATCCTCGGGCCAGCTATTACAACCAAAGATGAGGCAGGATCAGCACTTTACAGAGAAGCCTTAAGAGCGTTGCAAGAAGTAAGCGTTCAATATTCCCGCTAGTCATTTTTTTCTGGAGTTATTACTGCTCAGTTGGCATGTAAAATACGCTCCTGTGACTCATAGACAATGAAACATGCATGAGTGTCTGTCTAGAGGACGGGAGACACAGATGCTAGGTTCATAACCAAATCCTGAGCAGAGTTCCCTTCTAGTTGCTTTGAAGCTTTGCTGATCTCAATTCTTATCCTAAACCTTTCACCCTTCAGGTAGTCCAGCCCTCCATGCACCTTCCCATGTGTGGTTCAAGGCAAAGCTCTCAATTTGGAACAGACCTACTTACTCTACAAGTGTTTCTTGTAACAAATCAAAGAACAAAGACTTGTCCTACCAGATATGTACAAATCAGGATTTCAGCCCTGCTCTCCTGTAGCTTGGCCAACAATCTCCAACCACAAGAAAGCTTATACTTTAATCTCAGTTCAATCAGAGGATTTTTGAAGATGAAGGAGTGTTGCTTGGATATATTAAAAAAAGTTTATTTTGTGCCAAGCATGCAGCGAGTAGAAATGGACAAGTTTAAGCTAGCTAGTGAAAAATTAAAAGAAAGCCAAAATCTCTCCCTACCATCACCACCCCGCCCTGATCTTTTTAAAGTTGTTGTTTGTACTTTTTTTTATCAGAGCAAAGCTATAATTAGAGCTATAACAAGCCAATAATTTCTAAACGTGCATACGAAGATTGGTTAAAATAATGTTACTCACTGACAAATTAATCCCTGTACACTAAAATCTGCACAAATATTGTTTTAAAACAAAACATTTACTTTGCCAAACTTCTGATTCAAAGAGCTGGAGGATACAACTCAGCATTTATAACGTCTGTAGTTGCTTTGTATAATGGAAAGAAAATATGACCTAATGGCTGACAGGTAGGGCCAGAGTGATGAGATTTTTGGGTTATTGCTGGCATTGCCACTGACTGATCAGTCAGTCTTTGGCCCTTTGCCCCTGTTTTTCCAGCTGCAATAAGAGAGGTGTGCTTTACCTACTGCCTCTCTTAGCAGCACATTGCTCCACAAACAACACTGGGATATTTCCATCCTGCTTATAGGCCAAATTTATCCTTCCTAGCTTTAAATCATCAGCAAAATTTGATACGCTACTTTGAGTAAAGGTAAGCCCCTTGTACAGTTCCACCCCTCTCCCCCCAATCTAAGTACTCTACCTATATACTACAGACACAAGTATAGTTTCTTGAAAATATTTTTTTTGCCATCCTTCCCACCTCTGCAGCTTTTTGCATCTCATTTCAGAAGTAGATTTGGGCAGGAGTTATACGTTTCCCAATGAGTCTCTGAATGCCAATTGTTATTCAACTCTTGTAGAGATGGAGTTCTCCATCAAAAAGACAACCGACAACAAGGTCTCAGCCATATGAAATGATCCCTACACCTCCTTAGCTCCCCAAAACCTTTAATCATATTAGCATTTTAAGTGGTGCAACTTGATTAAACCGTTTTCCAAACTTCAGGCCAAAAGTAGCTGCTGAAGTACAGCTGCACAGCATCTTCCTGTATTGCAGACAACGCCTGAGGCCAGCTGGACAGATTTAGAGCAGGGCTACAGAGCTTCAAAGGGAAGCCTGCCAGGCAGAGAGAAGACAGGACTAGCCCATTTGACAACTGAACTGAAACAGCAGGGAAGCAGCCCTAAGAGGGATGGAGGAGGAGAAGGAGGAAGGGGCATGCAAAGAACAGGAGGAGAATCAGAAGGGGAGGACAGGAGGGCCAAAGGTAACGCATATATGAAAAGGAAAACGTACTTCACAAAAGAGACTCAGGGCAGAAAGTGAATTAATAAAATATAGAACTAAAACAAATCTCAGAGCGACTAGAGGGGAAAAAACCAGTATCCCTGAACAGGCAGAGGAACTAGTGCCTGTGAATCTTTACTCAAAGCCTGGGAAGAACACAGGTAACAAGAACTATGTCAATAAAGGAAAGTATGTAAAAAAAGGCAGTGAAAGCAAGTTTAGAAAAGGCTTTGCTCAATTTGTATAAGTTTTCTCAAGGCTCACAGTGGAGGGCTCACAGTGACAGCTAGCATTATTTAGCATCCTGCCCAGCAAGAGCCCGGGCAGGTTTCCTCCTCTTCCCCCTGTCACCACGCTTAGTGCACTTCATTAGTCTCCCCATGTAAGATCCCTCTCACAGCACTATCCTCTCCTTGCTCTGCCCTTGACACACATACCTTTGCTTGAAGCTGAAGTGCCAGGGGTAACTATAATTATTTGCACTACCCAGTCGCATTATTGATGACATTGTGAAGCCAGTGATATAAAATTTTTAGACAGAGCAGAGAAACCCTGTCAACAGCACCATTTGGGTGCACACTTACGCTCTCTGGAAGGCTTCATCATTAAGTGCACTCAAGCTTATAAACTAGAAAGCATTCTTCAGAGTTATGAGGAATCTGAGAATTCAAACTCTTCTGCCTCTTTTGCCAATATTAACACGAGGACTAAGACACTGGAAGCAGAAACTGGACACAGAAAAAATCTGCATTTGGCTATCCAATCATCCCCAAATCTGTAGAAAGGGAAGGATGAGAGGGCATCAAACAGGTACAAATACATCCAAGGCCTAAAAGTGGCTTCTGTTGCTGTATTTCCTCTTAACTCTTCCAGAGCTATACTGGCTGGGAAATCCTAAAAAAGGAGACAGTAACACTTTCATTTGGCTACTTTTCTGATTGCCACAGTGCTTCTAACCTACTGCAAAGCTGAAGCTTTTTTCTGTCCTCCAAAGATTCCCACTGGCAGCTCTCCCACATCAGATGCAATGCCTACCCAGATTTTCTCTACAACCAATTCATTCTGACAGGAGCAGCCTCTGTTCTGCCACCCCTGCCTGCTTTCCTGCAAATCACTGACTTCTGACTCTACAACAGCTCTCTCTGACAGGATCAAGTCCGTGGTCACAGCACACCCCAGCTCTGATGCTTGCTGCAGGCTCCTTGGCTTGGCTGTCCAGAGTTAGAGACCAGCATGAAGCAGGGGAGTCAGACAAGACACAAGCCCCTTGGCATGAATGAACCATCACTCCCCGGAACAGATCCCTGCCTGCTCCTTGTTATCCATCTGGCCAATGCTTGGATGAAATCTGAGATGAAAGCAAAAAATTACCATATTCCAGCTCTCACCACATCTCTGATTCTCTTTGCTGTTACACAGAGAAGAATGGTAAGAGTTCCCTCTCCTACCACTTGTTTGTAACTCTTTTACATGCTTTATTTGCAGGCCGGTCCTTATTTCTTGTTTTGTTTTTTACTATCTACTTTTATTACAGTTTTGTAGCATCTAGATTCCCGCTGTGATATGCTCTAGTTTTATTTCTGCCGTTTTCTCTGGGGAAGAGGGAGAGGGAAAGATGAAAAGGTAAAATTAATTTGTTTCTTTGATAAGGCAGTTAAGAAGCACACTGGCCCCTCCGAGCATTCCAATAGCTTATCCCCTATTCTAATATTTCTGAGAGGGGAATGAGAGCTGAATGCTTAAAACTGCCAGCACATCCACATCCTCTTCTTTGAAAATTGAAAACTGAGACTAATTATAATGGCTCACACAGTGCAATTATGTTGCTGATCTAATCAGCTAACATCAGGAGAAGCGCTGAATAAATCTGCACAATAGCTGGGACATAGAGTCAATTTCTCCCTGGCCCAGCACATTTAAAGCATGCTTATCAGCTGCATAACATCCGAAAAAGAAGAGATGTTGGCTGCAAAAAGTTTTTTGAATCTTCCCCTCCCATTTCTCTACCCACATCCCAAAGGCAGAAACCTTTAATTTATGAAGGATTTTGTTGTGTTTTTCTTCCTGGTCTGGGAACACCCTCTTGAAATAAAGCAAACACAAGCACTTGGGTTTCATTAGTTAGTGATTAAATATGTTATGAGACAGAAAATTGGCAGAGAAAGTAAGGCTGGTTTGTTCGTGTTGGTCTTACTGTTGGCTCTTTGTGCACACTTTGAGTGGCAGGCCTCTGTAAACTGAGCTCAACACTTGTGGGGTCCTTCTTCAACTCTACCGGGGGCCTGTCCCCTCTGGCTATTCCGTCAAATTTCAGCGATCTGCTTGGCAAAGGAGTAAATATTACTGTTGTACACTCTTTATCCTTCTCTTCCACACCGTTGACATTTTCTCCATTCATGCTGACTTTTCCATCTACCTGCAAAATACAGTTAAATAAATATGCTGAGGCAATTCTCATACAAGGGAAATTAGGAAACTAGGACTTCAACACGATATTACAATTGTTACTACAGTCTATGCCATCGGTGAAGCACAGTCAAGCACACATTTCATTCAGTGGACCAAGACAGAAGAAAACCCTACTCCAGGGGGGTCACAAACAACATACAGACAGAATTTAGTAATTTTTTTGGATTCCCTAATTTTCCACATTTCATTCTCCCAGTAACATACAGACACTCTTTGCGTGCATCATGGATCAATGGATTTTAAAAGAACAACAAAGATTTATGTTAAATAAAAAACTGCTGGGTTTTGCATTGCCTCATGCAAGAAACAAGTAGGCTTTCCAGGACTAATTACACTGATGAACTGCTATGTACCCTGGCGACCTCACACAGTATTAGTAGACTGTGCTTTCTGAAGCATGGTCATGTGAACTTTGAAGGGTCAGCAGCAGCAAAGTTCATCCACTTCTTTCTTTGCTGTTCGTAACAGGGAAGGCAAGGAAGCAACAAATAGAACTGGGCATTCCACCTCCTCCAAGAGGTGGTAAAATAAATAGCTGCTTTCCCGGAAAATGATTTATTCAATCTCCATGAAAAGGAGAGTGCAGAAACAGTTCAACTACTTTGTTCTCCGGGTCAAGCTAGCTCCTTGGTGGGCACATATTCCTGCTAAGGAACCCTTAAGCAAGGAAGAAAATACAAAATACACTCTAGCTTCTTCCTCTGCGCCGATATAGCTTCCTCCTGGGACTTTAATACTCTGTAATTATGTTCTGAATGGAGGTGGTACAGGAACATTTCCTCCAATTTGGAAGGTTGTTTGTAGAAGCAAGAGCGTACATGAAAAAACTCTTGCTGCAAAGAACTTGTAAGCCATTCACCATAAGAGAGCCTAGCAAGAGAGATCAGGTGTCAGTAACACCATATTGTTCCTGCCTAGCAGCAGGTTTAAGTTTTAAATAGATTTGAAGTAGGGCTCTGCTGCCCTGTGCATAGAGATCCTTCCTTGCAAAATGGTTATCACGGGAGACAATGCAAAGGTGAGGGAGTAAATACGGACAGACTCTTCTCTGCTAATCACTGGACTTTGGGGGAATAATGGCATAGAGCAGTGATTTATTAGAGAAGCTATCTGGGATATATATGACTATTAGTTATTTCAGAATGCATAAACAAAAAAATAATGTAAAAAAAAGCTCAGAGGCAAGCCTTTCCATGGAAACTTTTCACTTATTTCACTGTCACTGAAAACCAGTGCAACAAGCATCCAATGAAAACCGGTGTAAGAAAACAAAGTTCTTCCCATCTCATCCTCACTGCCCCACTCTTTATTTCACCATTTACTTATCATCAGTAGTTCTTGAGTAAACAGCTTGGATACCTCAAGAGTGGCACTCCAACTCAGAGTATGTCGTCAGTGCTAAGCTGAGGACAAACTCCTCCCATTGACTTCTCGTATATGTGCATCCAGAGGTCTGTTCTCTACCTGAGGGTGATTAACTAAGGGGCCATTTCCAAGATGCTGGGCATCCTTGCCTCAGACAGACACGTGGGAAGGTGAAGGCAGAAAGCACCTCGAGAAATCAGTTTTCACGCAGAAGATAAACAGCCCGGCTCTGCAAGCGGTTTCACTCCTTACGACTGCTTTAGAGATGAAAAGGTCCCCTCCCTCTCCTCACTGCCATCATCCACTCAACACACTACCACTCTCACGGTTTAGTTCCAAATGCAAGCGTGAGCAGACACTGAGCCCCGAGTCTTCTGGGACTGTGTGCTGGATTATCTGTTAGAGAGGCAGGTCATGAAAGATCTCAGAAATAAAAAAGCCAGGAAAACACTGGCAGGCCACATCATCCATTTTAGTGTCTCTGTTTAGACTCTGTTTAGACATTTCTCTATTTATATTAAGGAGGAAAATTAAATGTTTGAATGATCAGGATAGATGTCCTGGCTGCAAAGTTAAACAAATATACTCCTCCTTTCCTTCTGACCTGGAGCAAGTCAACACATTGTCACCAGAGCCCAGAATCATTGACAGACTGGCATTTCAAGGGAAAATAATGCTACAGCTACATGTGCTAGGGCAGGATTACTACTGAGATAAATCACATTCTTCCACATCAAGCAAACAAGATCTAGACAGATTTTTAGTGGTGGCTGGTGAGGGGTGGAAGCATCTGTGGGTTAGCTTATATGTATTAGTAAACATGCATTAATGTGAAGGTGATACACACGTACATCTTGGTCCTCTGAGGAAAAAAGTGGCAGAGATCAGAAAAAATCCAAAGATCCCTGATTCACTGGTGTCTAAAATGTAAACTCTAGGAGAATTCCAACTGAGGTATAGGAGAAACAGCAATTACGAGTTTCACGTTTCAACTAGACAACGTGGTGGGGGGTTTCCACAAGAGCTGGGACAGAATTCAAGAACTTACAGACATCACAACATGCTTTTTCAGTATATAAAGCTGACTTATTTTTAAAAAAAGTAAACAACCTGAATATATATGGTAGCAGTGCTACTAGGACATCAGCTGGGCTGCAGGGACTCCTGTACACCACTACCAAAGTATCAGATAGCCATGGCAGACACAAGAGGACCTGAACTCTACAGGCTAGGGGTACCCATGCCAGTAGGCTTCACACGGCTTACAAGGCTACAATGAGACTTGGGGAAGCTCCAGTTTTGGTACAGGCACAAACCTGACTTATTCTGACCTGTTCTCTCTAACATACGTCAGTTCTTTGCCCTACTCCCATTCTCCTCACCCACCGAGTCCAATGATACACTCCTCGGGTTTCATACCCCAGTTTCAGTCTCTTCTCCTGACCCCTTCCCTCACAAACCTTGTAGCTGGCTCCTTATTCCAGGCAGTCTTGCTTTCATACAAGCTTTCTTACTTCTTTTAATCCCATTATCTTTGTGCAGTTCTTGCAACCCAACACAGTCACTCCCCTTCTCTCACCAGCAACCCCCAGTTACATCACTGCCCCAGTATCAGTTTTCCTAAACCTGCACGGACAGTGAAGCATCTCTCCTCATTCATCCCTGGTGAGAAGCTTGTTTAGCTTTGGGTAAGCTAGCTCTTGGTTCTGAACTTGAGTATGGCAAAAATCAGACTCCTGACACAAAAGCCAGTTCAGGTCTTGCTCCAAAAGTCAGGGCCTCCATGTTCCCTGCCCCTTTGCTTTTGTTTAAAAACAAAAAAGCATGACGACATACTTTTCTAACCTCTTTCTCAGCAAATGCCTTGCTTTTTCCTTAGAGGTGCCTCTCTCCCCGTTTTTCCACAAATAAATTTAGCCTGAGGAGAAATGAAGAGCACAAATACTCCAGTCTGAACATGTCAAGTTGCAAAAAGGTTGATAACCAGAAAGAGACCAGTAGAGCACAAAGCTGGATTTTATAACACCAGAACACTGCAACCATTTTCTACTTCATTGCATTAAACGTGTATATATTCAGATGATTTAGTCAGGTCCTCTTTATCGCCTGACTGACTTTGAGGACTGCAACGTATCCTACCTTAAAGTTCTTTAAAATTTCTTGTGTATTTTTGGGTTGTGAGTAAGGCTTGGGTGTCAGCATAGGCACAGCCTTGGGGACAACGCTTTTGCTGGGAGACGTGCGGCCCGTCGAACGGCTGGGCTCTAGTTCAGTGGTGGGAACTATGGTTGCTTCAATGGTGGCAGTGAATTTTGGAGCAGGCAGTGACTGTTGCCGTAAATATCTCAGAGGATTTGGGTCTTTCAGTGGGGAATTTGGCTCCACTGAATGGCTTCTTTCCAGAATTTTTGGCATCTGCAGACGCTCAAGGACAGCTTCGCTGATAGTGAATCTTTCAATGTACTGCTGGAGGATGCTCTCGGCCTCCTCCTGTGACTTCGCATTCTTGTACGCCTCATGAAGCTCCCGCTCCCTTCTCTCTCTGCGAGGGAAACAACACAAAAGAGACCAGTGCATTAAAATAATACTGGAAATCACTTGTACTTCCTCTGCTCCATCAACATCCTGCCTTCTCCCTCCTTCGCCCCAGGCCTGCAGGCATGGCTGCCCACAGTCACCTATCACCCACGGAGCACACAGCATTTTCAGACACACCACTGCACTTCAGTAAAACAGGAAAATAACATACTTCTCTTCCACAATTTCTCGGTAGGTTTTGATGCTTTTTCTGCGCTCATTCGTTCCCTCTCCAGACAATAACCTTTCCATTTTCTTTCTCTCAGCTTCCTTTTTTATTAAGTCTTGTGAAGCGCTCCTTCGACGACTCTTCCACCGAGCCAGGTCCTGTGAAGGAAGGAAGGTACCTGAATGCAGAGTTCTAAATAGTTAAAAACTGGCCACAGAAACAAATAAACTTAGCCAGTTGCTTTGCAATGCTTGCTCCTGGCTATGGACCAGGCTCCCATCACCTGCAGGTAGTGATGTTTATTTTAAAGAGAAAAGGAGATTATACCACACAATGAAGATGTTGCCTGACTGATTTTTTCTTCTAACAGCAGGATCCAGTAAGGATTTCATAGCTCCACTGGTGCTTTTTCTTTTGGGCTGTGTAGTGTCACAGAAGTACTCTGGGTAAGAAGACCGGGAAACCTGGCCTAAAAGGACCATTTAGGGTCCTTTTCACTCAGGCCAATACTAAAGACAAAATCTGACTCCCCAAGAAGATGAAGCAGAAAAAAAATATATTTAGTGAAGAATTTTAATAATCCAGTGTGTGGGAGTCAGGAGTTCATTGGAGGAAGGGAGATTGTTTCACAATAAATTACAGCTACACTAATAGTCTGCCTTGGAAAGCTCATAGTCTGATAGTTTGCCCACACTATCAGACAATTACATGCACGCATGGTTGACCCATGCTGCTTTTTTATTTTTAATTTTTTGGACAGGAAAAATCTAGTGCATCATCCAAACTTAAATTTCTCCTTATGGGCCCCCCCTCCAATGTTCTGGACCAACAACGTTTTGGAGCAACACAGGTTAGGGACTAAAGTAGCTCACATCTGGTGGTGTGAGACATAACTGAGTGAAAAAAGCCCGTGGTTTGTATTCAGCTATGTAGATGTGCCCTTCAATCTTACTCATTTTGGAATCTGCCTGTCCACAATCATGCAGAAGATCCACTGATTATGGTTCTTTACCTTTCTTACAAAACCTGATGCTAAACCAGAGAGTCACAGGCGATACCTGTTACAGGCACCTGTGATTTGTATCCTGCTTGGGTTATGAATTCACGTGTCCTGCAGGGTACAGAGACAAGAGCTTTTTCACAGCAAAAGCATTACAGTAAAGAAGTTTCCAGAGCTGTAAAATTTCCTTGCAGTCTACTAGTAAAGGAACAAAATTTAAAATGTCAAAAATCACCTCTGCAGAACCTCTGCAAGGAAAAGCAACCTCCTAGGAAATTTTATTGGCACATTTGTCATTAATGTTACAACATCAGGAGATGAGTATGCAGATTATTTCATGTGCTCTAACAAATTATGGTTTTAATAAAAACCCAGAGATTCTGTAAACATACTCAATTCAAAGGCTATTTTATTAATTACATGGTTTTCCAAATATTTTAATTGCATTTTTATTGGTACACAGCAGAAGGTACTGCAAGCATAACTTACTTTATTAAAACCAGGAACAAACCTTGTCACTTTTAATTTAGCTTAAGCCCACAAATTATTGACATTATACTCAAGGGAATGCTCATTAAAGTATTTCTTCACATGACCTACATATATCAGTTTATAATCTCCTTCTTGAAACTTAGGCTTTTCATTTTCCTCAGTTACTAATTATTCTCATTGAAGTACCAAAGCATTTCTTTATTCAGCTACTCCCACTATTGCCTATTGTTTGGAAATTAGTTTTTCATTAGCAAATTTCATAACCTAAGCCCTCCTACTCTTTTTGCAATTAAAAACTAGACATGTTTATCTTTTGCAGCACTGATGCTTTATAATAACAATGATTAAAACAAAAAAAGAAACTGTTAATTGTTGGCAAATTTACAGCATGGGCATATAAAAAAATATCAGACCCTGAATGCAGTGTCATCTCCATAAAGCCCTCTGAATGCGAAGGACATTCCAGTAAGGGCATTTTCAGTACCTCTTCAGAACTTTTAGTTCAGTGTAAAAGGTGCTGAGGGCCTGGAAAACTTAGGCACTTTAGCTCAGAGGATTTTCCATTCAACAGCAAAGAGTTTTCAAACTTCTCAAATGCCTTTGGATTCATCCTTATCCCTGCTGGGAAATTACGGCTTCCCACTCACACAGATCTCTTAGCTAAAATCCTTCATTGTTCTACTATGAAAAGTTATTTCTTGGTTGTATATACTGTTCTTTTTCTCGTGTTTTCCTTGAATTTTCTACCAAAACCCTTTCTTGAGATGTTTTACAGTAGATGACCTTATGATAGAAAATTAAAAAAAAAAATGCCCTGAATTCCTCATTTAAAATCAGTCTTTAGGAATGAACAGGACTGATATTAAAACTCTCAATACTAACTTATTGGAAAAAAAAAATGCCATCGAAAAATGGATTGGAAAACAATCCACTGGAAAAAAAGTAGAGTGTGTGTGAAACTCCTGATTATTTTAGTGCTAGGGAAGAACTGTGGATGTAGGAGGTTGCACTTCTTTGCTTAGCTAGCTGGCCTCAACGCCAGCACTGCCGACACTGCTGCATACTCACATCTTGCCATCTGGTCTCATCCTCTTTCAGCTGGTTGTTTACGTTCTGCAGTTTCTCGTGGCGAGCTTTGCTGTGAGGCTGAGTGACGGCTTCTTCTTCACATCTCATGTCAAACATGCTCATACTCCTAAACAAGGGGGAAAGAATAAGCGCAGCGTTATTTAGAAGCTTATATTCCTTCAGCTTGTTAGAGCTAAAGCCACAGGAGGGTGCTGTAGCAGAATCAGACACCCGCACCATTAGGAAGCTCCCAAAAGCAGCAACCCCGTAGAAAGACCTGTTAGCATCCCTGTGGCTCCCACCTAGTACTTCAGGCATTATACTCCTCAACTTTCTCTTGTTTTGGTAGTTGACTGCAACTTTGACTCTCACTAAGAAGCATTATTAAGGTTACACTTCCATCAATAGCTCTTTAAAATCTTTCTATTCAGAGTGGAGTTCAGAACATTTTACTTTCTGAAGATTTGTTACCCAGTGAGATTTTAAGACCCCTCCAATTGACACCATAGACAGAAGTTTCCATTTCAGTGTAAAACAAGAGAGGCTTGAGAAGTAAATTTGGGGCAGCACAGCTGGCTGAATGCTTTTGCTAAAGTACCAGGGAGAGCCTGCCCAGAGAAGTACAGGCAGCACGAACAGCAGGGTACTTCCTCCGCTCTCCTCCCTGCCCTGAAGAAAATGCTATCAGCACCAGCTTATTAACACAGCTAACTTATCAAAGAAAAGCTCATGTTCAGGATAAAACAATTTCTTTCTGCATGTTCTACTTCTGTCCCTGACCTTTGGAGAGTTACAGGAAAAAAAAAGGTCATGGTTTGATATTACACATCCATTCGTATTATATTAAAATCTTCACACAAAGATAATGTACTTACTACTCCTCCTATTATTAGTAAAACATGACATCAGTTGTGCCATTAAAAGCAAAATGGAAAAAAAAAAAGCCATGCAGTTCTACATGATTTCACAGCAGTCTTCAAATGATCATCTGTAGCTTTAGGTGAGCTAACTAGCAGGAGAAGCACCCAATGAAGATAAAATTGTAGGCTACTGTGCCCACAGCAATCAAAGTGAATGACACAGAAAGCTCTGCATATATATATAGCCAGCATTTGTATTCAGGCAAGCAAATATGTGAATGACCCACTCTTGAGGGAAAACTGAAAGTCCAGACGGTGGATGGAAAAGGACATGCACAGATCCCATCCCATTAGTAGGTATTTACTCAGAAATGAAGGACAGAATACACATCCTATTGTCTTTAAGCATGAACAGCGAGGTTAGCATATTACTGTGCTTCACTGTTTAAAGAGTGCTGAGGGGTACTCTAATTTGGGTTTTTCTGTGGGTAGTTCAAGGGCTGCATTGCTCACATTTGGATTGGAGCACTTCTAAGCAACAGAACCTGAAGAGATGGCAAGTTTTGTTGGTTTTAAAACTAAAGGCAGTATCACCTACTAGGCCACATTTAAATTTAAATATCAATCATATTTTGCAGATTGGTGAGGTAGGTTGGGAGATGCGTGACTTCACATCAGAAGAAGAAAACTGAAGATGTGAAATGGTGGTAACTGCTTCTCTAGTACAGAGCACAAGTACTCACCCTCTGCCGTTTGGGATCAGAAAACAAAAATACTTTCTACTAAGAGTATCCCAAATGTCCTAATTAAAAGTTAGTATTTATTCCTTGCATTCACTCTGGTCTCTCAGGGTGCACAGACACAGCAAACCCAAATGTCTTATGGCTATTAACACTGCAGGAAAAAGGTACTCTGGAAAAGGCTTCAGCCTAGGACAGGAATCAAACTACATGCTACAATCCGACACGCACCTTCTGCTCTAGTTGTCACTTGCTGCTGCTGGGCCTTCATCGCCACAGACAGGCGAACAGGTAGGTTCAAACATCAGCTCTGCTGCAACGTGTTACTGTGCAAATGTATCTTCCCAAGAAAGCAATCTAAAGGAGTCACATCTCAAAGCACCGTGCTCTGCTCTGACCAACATGTGGTAACTGTTAAGGAGAACCACCTACCTTCCTGAATATGTGCACAAGGCCAACTGAAAGGTCTACATCGACTTCTCTGTCTGGTAAGTTCATCTAGTTGAGAGGCGTCCCTGCCCATGACAGGGAGGTCGGACTAGATGACCTCTAGGGTCCCTTCCAGCCTATGCCATTCTATGATCCTTAGAAAAGAATCAAAGAGGCTAAAACTCTGAGCTTCTGCCAAGTCACTTTCACTACAAGTTTCACCATCGTTTTGTCCTGTTTCTTTCTTATACAAATCACAAATGGCTCCAGCCCATCTGCACGAACACCCACTTGAAAAGAATTAGATTTACTCCTTCCTTCAACCATGCACTGGGCCAGCAGGCACGCAGCGTGCAAGTAAACCGGGAGAATGCAACCGCACCGAACCCATGTTCGTTAATTTTCTGCCATTAGCAAAGCTCTAGGGATTGTATGCAAACTCTTATCTGGAAGAAAGAGGCTCTTCTGCTGACCAGTGTACCAGACCTGCTGCTCTAAAAGAGATCTGGGAAAACCCACTGTTTAAACCACTGGCATATTTTGGAGGGCTAGATCTTTGGAATGATGTGATTTTTAAGTTACACTATTGTTGCAAATTACAGTTGTTCTTGTCAGTGATATCATGCAGCAATTGTATTTTTTTTAAACAGGTCTGAACAAGTATTGGACAAAAAATGTCCTCAAAGTCTTGAGCGTTCAGACTATTTAAAAGTGAGAAATAAGGTAAGAAACTTTTCTTAAATGAGAGTATGTTAAAAACCCTTATGCAAGGCATTTATTATGTGGGTGCATTACCATTTTACAGGGCATACTGTAAGACTTAAGAAACTCCAGCAATTCATAAAAAGCAACAGGCTGGCTGGCTAAAGAATCATGCTCCAGTAAATACTAAAAAATCTCAGCTCACCATTAATCGTTTGTCAGGCTTAAAGAAAAAGCATAAACCAAAACTCACACTAGACTGTCACGCTCTACAAGAATTCTGCCCCATCTCTTCAGGAGATGGGAACAGGGCTGATCAGCAACAACACACCAAGTATTGTTTCTCCTAGACCTTGAGGCAGACTAGGGCTGATGACAATATCTAGCATTCCCTAACCAGCGAGGGGAACTTTGTCAGTCTACTAAGGGAGTTCCTAGTTTTGCTGCTGGAATAAACAATACCAAGGCTAAGACAGAATTCAAGTTATAGAGTTTTCAAAAGACGCTTGACAAATGTTTTGGAAGCATTTTAAATGTCAATTTATTTTTCCTACCTGAGAGCCAAATTTTATTAGACTCTTTCTAAGTATTTTGCCTTCAGAAGGAAAACCACAAATTCAATTTATTAATTTTTTGCTACTCTCATACAACCAAACCCACTGCAGTGCCTGTTTGAAGGCATCTTCATGTACTTTCTCTCACATTTGCATTTAAAACAGACATGCAAAAATGTGGGAAAACAAATGAACAAATCAATCAAGCAAGCTTTCTGAAACGGCAGGGAAGTCCTCATTGTTAAGTATAACATCTCTGTGTTGTTATGCTATATTTATCTCATCTCTTCATTTGATTGAACATATTTCTGCTGCTTGAAAACAATCACATTTGCTCTACAATTGGAATACACAGTCTTTGCTCAGCATAAAGGTTACTACAGATCTTGTAAAGAATTCAGTCCGTGATTCTAGCCTTTATCATTAGAGGAAAGGGTGAAAAATTATATATGAGTCTTTGTATATACTTGTTATAAAATAACCTCCACGCTGTTTCTATTTTATGATTTAATCTGGGAGACAGAGAAGGTCATGTGCATTTCTTTGAACAGAAGGATGTTAAGGATATTATGACGTGGGTAGTTCCCAACTATTTCTTGGCTTCTAACTGCCTGCACTTTGTAAGAATAACTAAAACTTTGACAGAGCTTTCTAAACAACACTGCATAATATTCCAAACTACTTTACATGCATATACACACAATTAAAATGCTTGAGTGCAACAAATGTCACAATCCTACTCCTGTCAAGAGTAACGTGTTGAGATGAAAAGCTTAAAAAAAAGTTTAGTACATTATTAAATTAAAACCAGACTAGAAGCGATTCAAGAGAAAGTTTTTAGAAGACAATTAAGGACCAGTTGAAGATGTATTTTCCCTAGTAATTATTCTGAAGATTACAATGGATTTTGGTTTACTTTGGGATTTCTTTTTTTATTCCTCTATAGGCAATACTCCTTTTCCTCAACATCCAGCCCAGATTCAACCCATTTCTCTTTACCTGTAGCTGATTAGAGGCAATGGAAATTCAGTAGAAAAACAAAAGAAAAGGAAAAGGAAAAAAAAAAAAAAGGAAACAATACTTTAAGCAACAGCTAGACATTAGTGTTACACTCAGTTTTTATGGGGTTGTATATAAAAAATATTTTTAGCTGCAATGTAAGCCATATTGCATTCCATTTTTCAGTGCTTTTCTGAAAAATTTATTTGCTGGAACACTGCAAAATAATAATGAGGCATCAGCTGCATTTTAAATTAGTAGAAAGACAGGAAAGCATGCAGTGTAAGTTGTTTAAAATAGAATCTTGTGAACACAAGACAACTTACTCTGCGTCATCAGACACAGCAGTTCTGGGGCCGAATCTACAAGACCAAATATAAAATTAGAGCGTTGATAAACACATTAAGTAGTAATTGCAACTGGACCCATACCATTTGGGTAACTGTCACCTGAACATCCAACCTGTACTAGTAAAGCAGACAAAAAATGAATCATATCGTTCAGGGATTATGCATTGAGCAAACCATACTTACCTAATCATCTGGAGGCCAAACTACATAAGAACACCACCCATCCCTCCCTGACCCCACAGTAATGCTCCCAATATAAAAATCTGCCGATGCATACCTAAAAAGGGTGTAGAAAATAGTTACTGAAAATAGACAATATATTGACATAAAGTCACATAAAGTGTCACACGTGCAATGAATGGAGGCAAAACTTAACAGTTACATTCCATGTCAGTGCTCAGAATCACCATTACTCAATCACGGAAAAGACCAATATTACAGGCAGAAAGTAAGCCACAGAAGTTCCTTTGTTTTGTTGTTGTTGTTGCTGAGTTTTAGGTTTTTTTGGGGTGTGCATGTAGCTGAAAAAAGGTACTGGTAATACACAAGTCAGTGTTATTCCTATAAGTCACAGTCTTGTTTAGAGCCATGCAAACCACATATCTGTATCTGCGATTTATCGTAAAAGAACATCAAGTACAAAAGTCGACACTGTAGCATTTTCTAATTATGCAGAAGCAAGATACAGATCTCTAAAAAAGCAGAGTCCAGCTGAACCTCTGTTATTCATAAAGCTCTTTTTTTTTTGCAACTTAACATGTATACTGTAATCAAATATTTCCTTTTGAATCAGCTTTCATTTCAATATTTCAAAAGAAAATGCATTAGACACCTATTCTGTTTGTTTCTAAAAAGCGTGTTACTGACAAACAGTATCTTAGTCTGGACTGAAAACACACCAGGCAATGCACAGTCTAAATTCTGAAGTGCGCACACAGAGGTATACAAGCTGCGTGATTCACACCACAGAGAGCTCACGTTTGTGGATGTTCATCCTTGGCTGACAATGTTTCCATTTCGTTTTCTTCAGGAACCTCCTGAAGCTTAGACGTTTGACCAAGGTGAACTTCATTAAGGCTACCTTCACCCATTTGGGCAGTACAAACAGTCTCATCTTGTCCTGCAGGAGGGAGATTGCATTTTTCCTGTCCTCGCTGCTGTTCTTGTGGTGGTTGTATTACAGGCTTTCCAGAGCTACTAATGCAGAATTGTGGACGCTGTTCAGGCCTGAGTGAGCCAAAGGTAGCAGTGCAAAGAGACATTTGAGAAATCACATATACATAATGAAAAGTATAACTGTAAGTTCGCAAAAAACCAAACCCATAAACCCAAAGAGCTGCCAGGTGATGAGTGAGGCAGGTGCACAAAATATTTTAATACAGAATCAAACGCTTGTACTTCCATTCCTCTAAGCCAGAAACACCAGCTGTCCTGGGCACCACCAAATATAAAAGTAGTAAGTACATATTTTAACTAAACTATTCAACTTAAGGTCTTCTCAATACCAAACCACTGCTCAATGCTATGGTAGATGATAGTTTTTCTCGTGGCTGAGCTGTACAGTAGTTTTTTACCTGTGTGTGCATAACCACATTAATAGCCTTCTCCTCATGTGCTTTTAAGAGGCTGATGATTAAGAACCTTTCCACTCCCGCTTCAATGGGGCTCAATTAGCCAATGACAAATCTGTTCAAAGGCTTAAACTGCCAACTTACCCCTCATGCATCTGAACACAGGGGCTTAGAAGGCCACTGAGCATTATCAGGAAGGGTCTCTGGATCTCTAAATTTCCTGTTTGGTTGTCATTGGCACCAGCTAAACCATAAACAACTATCTAACCAACCATATTTCTAGATGGAAATTGTAATGATTAGCTCATATTTAACCAGAAGCCTCTGGAAAAATAATGCAATCTTGCTATGTATATCCTTTTCTATACACTGTTAGAATTTTGCATCTGGTAGAACTCTGCTCTGAGTCTTTATGGAGCTCTATCACAAGGGCCAGAAACTCTGTCATTGTCTTCTTCTGAGCAGAAAGAATTGGCACAGAATCAAGGACAAGCATGGAAGAAACCACTGCTGGGCCAACAGCAACTCTTCCAGGTCAAGAAATCTTAACAGCCTGCAGGCCCAGCTACAAAAAAAAAAGAGAAGCACAACTTTCTTACCTCACAGTTTTCTTCCCAAGTTCTGTAGCTGTGCCCTGTTTATTCTGCTGCTTTGAAAATGGCATGGGAAGGAACTGCTTAACATTGGGCTCAAGCTGTTTCAGAAAAGCTCCAGTTCTTCTGGCCATCATGTCATCTCTTTGGGGGTCTGGAAACTTCACTTTTCTTTCTGTTTCACTGCTCTGCAGCTGGGGGATTTCCAGCTGTTCTTGGCTCTCTTCTTGTGTGACAGTACTGCTCAGAAAGACAGGTGACACCTTTCCATGACAATGCTCAATTGTGCAGCCCAAAGGCAAGCGGCTGCTCAGGCAGTGGGGTACTGTTACTCAAAACACAGTTGCAGAGTGACAGACAACTACCCATCTTTAGCTACAGTGCAGGGAGTGAGAGAAAGACGAAACTATGTCCAATGCCACACTTATGTAGGTGATTCATTAGAAGTTAGGGATTGCATAAAAACGTATGCAAAGAATTATTCACATGGAAGCTGGCATAAAAGTCCGGACAAAGCACCATGGGTTGCAAAAGAAATCCCCCCAAAAGATGAAAGACTGTTTTCATGCTGAACAGCGATTAACAACTAAAGCACTTAAATATTATGAAAGCAAACAGACTGATTTATGTTCATAGGATACATTCTTGTAAATAATTTCTTAAAACAGAACACATGCCATGATGAATGAGTAAAGCATCTTTAAAGGCCGTGTGAAGAATGGAACAACATTGCTGACCGATCCAAGCTAACACCACACACAAACCAGGCATGAAGCTCAGAGGTATCTGCTTCAGTTCTCTAACCTTTCTGCTTCCCGCAGAGCCTTCAAATCCTTCTCACAAGCTACTACCTTCCCTTGCTGCTGCTGCAGCAGATGAGGAGCTACTGACAGGGGTGGACAACATAAGGAAACAGGGCTAGTAGTACGCCTCTGAAAAGTTCCCATCCTTCTAACCAACATATCATCTCTCTCAATGTCTGGTAAATGTCCATCACATTCTTCCTTGGCGTTTTCTTGCTGTTTGTTCAAACCACATGAGGTTTGTTTCTCAGAGACGATGCCAAAAGCAGAGACAGGTGATGGTATTCTGCAAGTGTTATCGGTACCTGACTTGGCTACCTCACTAGCAACGAGAGTGAGAAGAGGTGTGAGATAGACAAAATATTTTGAAAAGTAAGGAAGGAGTCCTCCAACTCAGTTTGCAAGTTTTATAAACACACAAATTTAACTGACTGAGTTGCTTGCTAAAAGCATTCATTAAAAATTCTTGCTACAGCCACAGACTAAGTGATTAAAGAAAAGCCAAAGAAATGCGAGCTCTTTTAATATGTTAACTTCCCAGAGCTGTAATTCTCCTCCAGATAAATGCCAGAAACACAGAGCACCAATACACCCTGGTTTCAGCATTACATCTTCAAAAAAGAAGTAAATCCATTAGGTTTGAAGAAAGCATTTTTTTAACATCAGTAAAGCCAGCAAGCTGAATGCCAAAAGCAGGCAGAGCAAAGCCACTGGAATTCAAAAGGCAGAAAAAGCTTGAATGACTGGTCAGACTCTGAGATACCAGCAATTTCACCACCCACCAGAAATTTTGAGGCAAGCTCTCAGAAGGCCTTTGCACAGCGTTGTTTTGTGTAACCCTGAACATGTTAAGATACTGCGAAGGCAGCAGATGATTTCTGAACAAGGCCGTGCACGTAAACAGCGCTTAGTTCTGGGCTGCAGCTCACTGCCATGCAGATCAGCAGCTGGCAAGAACAGGTCTCAGCACCAGCTCAGCAGCACTTCCTAAGCCACACCAAATACCTGGGCTCATTCTGTGGCTTAGATACTTCATTGCTGGGTTCAGCAAACCTGAGAGTGCCAACAGTGGTGGAAGGAGAGCTTTCAACACCAGAGCAACTCTCCATGCTGTCTTCCTTGCTTTCCTCTTCTGTTCCACTCTTGGATGAAGCTCTACCAATAACAAGCTTGTCCCATTTCTGTTGATCAATCTCAGTGACTGGCCCAAAATGCACAAACTTCTGCTTGGGGCTACCAGCCTTTTTGTTTGCTCTGGCTTTGCGGACAGCAAAATCATCACAGGCTGTTGCTTTCACCGTCATTTCAGCTGGTGGCAGAGTATCACTGGGACACTTGAAATCTTCTTCACTAGTCAGAATGAGGAATAAAAGAATCCCCCCAACATGAAATCCCAGAATGAAGCAAATTAAATGCTCCTAAGTTTTGAAGGTCTTTTATTTTAAAAGTGCAAGGACACAGGTAAAAACAGCTGTGGCATATTGAGGCCCCAAATGACAGATGAAAGTCCAAAGATACTGCAGACCTGTTGGAGAAAGTCTAGGAGTACACCCATGGAAGATCTTCCTTAGGGGAGGGAATGTAGCATATGGCCCATTCCAGACTCCATTCTTTATCCTACCAAAGCCAAAGTTCCCATACCTGCTCACGCAGACCCAGGCCACACTGGGCGGGACTGCATGGCACCAGTACATCCACCTTGTAATAGGGGAGTTCCAGTGGCATGAGAGCACTAGCAAGGGCAATTCATTTATCCTAAACCAAGGGGACTGAATACTAATTTTAATAGATCACCTCAAAAGTAACAAAGAGATTACCAGTATCTTTGAGATGAGAGAATGATTAAGTTTTCATAGTCTGTGTTAGAGCTAAAATTACATACAGTAACCACATTGTTAGAAGAATGCCTGAACAGATGGTTACCTTTAACTGCAAAATGGCATGTGCCTAAACACGAAAGCTAGGAGTTGTTACCCTTTCCTGCTGGAGTCACAAATCACCTGCATACATTACAGCCCATCTCCACAGGGAAATTACTTAGAATA